TAGCCCCCCAAAATGCCAATTCAAGCTTCTCCCTCTATTTCTAATTCCTAGAGAGGGAAGGAGCTAGAAAACGACCATATGGATTTTAATGTTTGCATACATTTACATCCTGGCAGGTTTGCAATGTGTTCTAGTGTCTGGGTGATATTAGAGAGAGACATCAACTGATCACTAAGTACAGTACAGCCAGAGGAAAACGCCCAGTTTTTAGGATTTCAAAAATGTTTGCAGATTCATGTCTCATCATTTGGGGTTCTGCTGAGGTAGAATCCAGAGTAAAAACTTTATATAGCTGGGGTTTCTTTTCCTTTTAGGCTGTGAACTCAAGTGATAGGTTTATGCTAAAAGCATAGCATTTAAGTTGTCTCATATGCTGTATCTTCATCCTGGAATGTTTTATGTTCAATTTCTTCTTCAACTGTAATTGTAAGTAAGGCATCTATTACATGGTGTGTTTGCTGTGTCTTAGATCTGATTTTCTTAACAGCTCTGCTTCAAAATATGTGGCTTAATAGTACTGAGAGTTTTTACCATGAAGTATATAAGCACACTGATGCTTATTTCTCCTCATGGCTGTTCTTTAGTTAATTCCCGAGCTTGTCAAAAATACGGTTATAACATCATCTAACTTACTATGAGAACAAGCAAGGTAATTAAAACTTAAATTTCTGCAGAAATGACATATCCCCCCCAAAAAAATATAATTATCGTAGCTTCAGATCTATTTGAGGTTGATGTAGAAACAGAATAATTAGAAGCAAAATTTTTACTGTATATTTCCCTAAAAGGCCATCTTAGGTCCTGTCATACTACATGAGAAAAGTGAAAGTCTTTACACGTGTAATCTCAGTTTACTATAATTGCAAAAATGGATTGATGTGGAAATTTCCACTTTTTCCAATGCATTTTGTTATTGCTTGTAAGAAAATAACAGGGAAAAAATAATGAAATGTAAAAATAATTATAATGCAGATACTGTACATACAAAAACTAGAGATAGTGTTTTTATATTTTAAAAAACAGGAAAAAAGATAATAAATAAAATAATAGTTATATAATACAGATCTTAAGTCCAATTTGTTTTTAAGCCTGAACAGCATCATTGTATAATACTGTATAAAATAAATAGTATTGTATAATGAACTTGAACCATTGTACATTTAATTTGAATCATTGTGCATTTAACTCATATTTTGCTACAATAGATTCCATTCTTAACCATGGGTAGTCTTTAAACCAAGATGTTCTTAACCCAGAAACTTGATGTACATCAATATAGCAATTAACAGTTATAATGCTGTATTATAGAATTGTAACTGGAAATTTCCACTGTTGTAAATATAATTGGAAAATATTATTATGCTCCCTGACATTAGGTTAATCTTCTTTAGATAAGTAGACATGTGTAGTAATTCTGTATAATCTGTGATGAAGAAAAATATTATGTGCATGTCAGAGACATATTCCTTCTATATTACTTTACGTTTCTTAACTAAGGGCCATTTTTTACTTAAGCCTAAATGATGTTAGATGGGTGATACTATGAAAACACGATAAGATACTAGATTGGCAATATCTTTTTTTGCTAAGTGCAAGGTGTTTCTTTTGGCCAGTCCCCCCTTAATGCTCTATAGTATCTTTATCGTATCAACTAGCCATTTTAAAGTGATATGAATTCTACCATTATTGGTGTTAGTTGCTAGTGATGGTTAGATGTATAGAAGATGTTATATGCTGCAAGTAAGGTAACCTTTATCTCTCATCTCTGGCCAACACAAATTTAAGCCATCCTTTGATTTTCCAGGGTTAAACTAGTATTTCCCCTTATTCTAACATTGCCCAAAGGTCTATACAGATATGTAAAATCTGGTAGGTTTTCTCACCTTTTATCTTGGAGAGAAGACTGATGTCTGGATGGGAAGAGGGGTAATAGTGCAGACAGCAATTCTCAATGTTGACAGCAACTTTCAAAGTAATACGATTATGAGATACACTTTATTTTAAAAACAGATCTATAGAAAACCTTCAGGCAACCAGCAGGATAAAGCCATAAGCCTTGGTAGTTATAGCTCACTAAGTCATTGTTCAAACTAACCATCACAAACCCCAGTTAATGCTAATATGGCTGAGATTTTATTCCCACCCCAAGAAAATCAGAAGATAATTTTGTGCAGGAACCCAATTCTTGATTGTATTAATGATTTGAATTGTTGTTTCTTGGGTGCTTGTGTTGTAATTTTTATAGTGTTGTTCTTGTTTTCATTTAAATTCTGTCCACTGAGATCGGTGGCTATAGAGATAGGGTGGATAAATAAATAGTAAATCCATTTCTCGATAAAAAATATTTTTATAAATTTATTTTACTTTGGGATATAGTGATTTCTTCAACCTATGAAATAATCTAATCTAGTTAATTTCCTTCTGTAAACCAAAGTGGACTGAATGATATGAATTGTGTGAGGTTTTCCTTCAGTGAGGGATATTAAATGAAATATAGGAAAATTGCAAGGCTATTTAATCCTGAGTCTTATTTCAGGAAATAAGTGAAAAGAAGATAAACCTGATGCAAAGTCACCAGTCCATCAGTGGTGATCAATTGCAAAGTATTGGCAATTTGAAAAGGAAAACCCAGGATAAATACTTCTGTTGATTCATTTTAAACATCAGTTTGTCAGCTTATTTGCATGAAACAAAGCATTTAGATTTATATATCACTTCAAAGTGCTTTATAGCACATACTCTAAGTGGTTTACAGAGTTAGCGTTTCATCCTCCAACAATCTGGGGCCTCATTTTACCGAGCTCAGAAGAATGGAAGGCTGAATCAACCTTGACCCAATCAAGATCGAACTCCTGATTTAGGGCAGAGATAGCCTGTAATACTGCATTCTAACCATTGCGCCACCACAGCTCTATAGAAAGAAAAATATACCATATTGTATTTTCCTTTCTGCAGCCACATAAATATGATGGAGAATGTTGGGAAAAAATCCAAATAGGAAAATATAAACTCAAATTCTCATCAACAAATATAAGTTAAATATCATAACTTCCTCTCCATTATTGCTCCAAATGGTTACAAGTGTTGGTCAGCACAGTCAATGGGGGCCACCCAGACCGAAATCCCTACTAATGAAATGTGATTTAGAAATCTTGATTTGAGAGCATCCATCTTTGTATTTATGCAGGGACTTTTCTGCAGTGGCACCAAAACCATACAATTCCCTCCTGGCATAGTTTTTAATTATCCTTTTACATGCCATGCAAAATCCATCCCAACATTCTATTATTTTTGTGCTTCTTAATAATATTTGGGATTCTTTTAATTAGCTTTTGTGTTGCATTTATTTTTACTGCCTGGTTCTACTGCCTACCTCTACAGCTTGTATGACTTTTCATTCTAATGTTTTTCTACAAATCAAACTACAGGTAGTCCTCGACTTACAGCCATTCATTTAGTGACCATTTGAAGTTTCAATGGCATTGAAAAAAGTGACTTATGGCCAGTTTTCACACTTACAACCATTGCAGCATCCCTATGTTCATGTGATCTAAATTTGGGTGCTTGGCAATTAGCATCGATTTAAGGCAGCTGCACAAATCCTGGGGGGTGTGTGTGGGTGTCATGCGATGGCCATTTGCAACTTTCTCAGCCAGCTTCCAACAAGCAAAGTCAATGGGGAAAGCCAGATTTACTTAATGACCATGTGATTCACTTAACCTCTGTAGTGATTCGTTTAACAACTTTGGCAAAAAAAGGTCGTAAAATGAGACACAACTCAATTAACAATTGCCTTGCTTAATAGTGGAAATTCTGGTCACAATTATGGCTGCAAGTTGAGGACTACATGTACCAGCAATGAATTTAAATCATAATCTTATTTATAAATAAATAGTGTTTAAAAGGATCAGGATCAGAGGTGGTATTCTGCCAGTTCGCCTGAGTTTGGGTGAACTGGTAGTGGTGGTGGTGGTGGGAGGCTCTGCCCACCTGCCCAGACATCATCACAGATGCTCTGCGCATGCGCAGAAGGTTCTGCACACATGAAAGCTCCTGATTCCAAACCAGTAGTAAAAGTAAGAGCATTTCATGCCTGATCAGGATGCCTGTAGTTAGCACTGCAGCAATGAATGGGGTAAGAACTCTTTCTGTATGAGAATCTCTTTTATACTCAACTCATTATTTTTCTTCCTTTTGCCCCATTTGCTCAGAAATAATGTTGGCTGACTGCTTATCAAGTGGCAAGCAGTAGATTTATCAATTGCTTAAATCAAGGCGAGCTTCAACTTGAAAAGCCACATCTGGAATTTAGGGTGTTTCATATCCGGAAACCCATGAAGTAGAGATCAGGCAAAAAGAAAGAAAGAAAGGAAACCAGCCAAATAGACTTAACATAAGGATATTGGGTGTATTCTCAGTCATTTCTGAAAACTTCCTGAATTAAGGGTGAATGAAAAAAATTAGCAGACACCATGAAGTGTTTTTGAATAATTATTTTTTCCCATAGAGCTTGCAAAGGTTCTTCAGTAGACATGAAAAGAAATCTAAAAGTTATCTGTTCCCTCTCCCCCTTCTTCCTGCTACCAAATCTTAGTGACATGCTAGATCAGTGTTTCTCAACTTTGGCAAGTTGAAGATGTCTGGACTTCAACCAGAGGTCGGTTGCTCCCGGTTCAGCCCGGATCAGGTGAACCGGTAGCAGCGGGAGGCTCCGCCCACCCACCCGGATGCTTCTGCACATGTACAGAAGAGGCACACATGCATGAGTGCATGCAAACCGGTAGCGCCAGAATTTGCAACCCACCTCTGACTTCAGAATGTCCAGAATTCTGGGAGTTAAAATCCACACATCTTCAATTTGCCAAGGTTGAGAAACACTGGGGTAGATGATTCATTAGCTTTCCGAGAAAGTAGGCTTCCAAAACCTGTAGTTCATATCTAGATATTTCATGATAATCATCTGGTATTCCAACTGTAGATGTCCTGTGGTTACTTTCCAGCTGTTTTTCCACTAGTTCTTCAGTATTTTGACAGCAGTGATCTGGAAGCTCCATCTCTGCGAAGATTTCCCAACATATCATAGTCTGCTGAATATCCGACCTTCATCTTCCAATTGTGTCCTCCACAAATCTCATCGGCCTCATTTTTGAAAATTTCTTCATACATTATCCATATGCTTTCCTAAAATTCTTGGAAGTTGTTCAGAAACTGCCTCTGATGTTCCTGTATCTTCTTTGAAACCTCTCTTGAAGTCCATCTGTTCTCCTTTTCTGAAGAGGGGGCACCCAAGATACAACATTTCAGAAGAAACCCAAAGGAAACTTCCACCAGCTTAATTCGCAGGAATCTCAAGAGCTTTGCAGGCGTTGCTAAGACAATCTTCCTTAATCTACTCCGTATTCATCACATTCTTCCAGGCAAGAGAAAATTCTCTCTTCCTCTCATTTCTCAAAAGAATTTGTGTTCCAGATCCTGCCTACTGGAAGAGGAGATTAGATACAGTAGGCAAAACACCCATAATCACCACTGCCTCTGCTGCTTGCATTTGTAACAACTGGCGTCGTTTCTTACCGCCAAGCTGGAGTCACTTAAGCGCTGGAATGAAGAGAGGATGGTCTGGTGTGAGAAAGGTGTCCAGATTCTACTCACAACTGTGGGGGCCTTTGCTGCCTTTGGTCTCATGATCATCGCCATTGGCACAGATTACTGGCTGTATGCTCGTGCCTTCATTTGCAATACCACTAATATCTCTACCGAGGAAACGCCCCAGAAAGACAAAAAAGATCCTGGAGGACTCACCCATTCAGGTCTTTGGCGGATATGCTGTTTAGAAGGTAAGTCCAGGGGCGGGTTGCTGCTGGCATTACTGCCAGTTCGGCACACAAAAATGTTCGCGTGCACGTGCTCCGCTTTACTCATGCGCACATCAAATGCACTCTGCATGTGAGCGCATCTGCACCTAAAAAGATCTGTACATGCGCACAACGTTAGAAAAGGAGAAAAATTAAATTTCTGCAATGAAGATCGTTCTGTGCATGCGCAGAACCGAAAATCATGATGCCACTGCCAGCAGCAGAACCAGTTCGGGAGTGTGAGAGGCTGAGTTACTACCTACTCGGCTGAACCAGGCCAAACCGGTAGGAACCCACCTCTGGGTAAGTCATCCACTCACTGAAACAGGTTCAAGAGAGAAAACGTTCTAGAATTGTCGAAAAGCAAGTTTAGGTAGACATGAGGGTTACAAGATATTACAGTACCAACAAAGAATATTTGTAGCTCATTGTTGAGCTCAGGGATCCTTGGTGCTCTCTGAGCTTGGTTGTTTTCTTGCAGATGTTTCATTACCCAAACTTGCTAACATCATCATCATCATCATCATCATCATCATCATCATCATCATCATCATCATCATCATCATCACTATGACTGCTAGCACTGATGATGAGAGTACCAAGGACCCTTCATATTACAATACACCAAACATGGAGCAATTAATGGCCAGGTTCTCCAAGGAGACAATTTATTTACTAGAGAATTTAGCCAAAAAAAGAGAAAGACTAGAGGCAGAAGACAAGAAACTACAAAAGCTTTAAACACTGCAATTATGCACTGATTAGCTGGTGTAAAAACCAATATTGCTTCCACACTGGGAGGCATTGTTTTCCCCTAAATTAACTGAAAGCAGAATTAAAACAGTAGTTCTATTTTACATTTACCCTAGTGCCATATTATGCAGCAGAGCTTGTGTTCACGAGTTTCTATAATATTAAGTAAGTTTGAGTCAGCAAAACTCTCCAGCATACCTTTAATTAGAAGTTCCCACCTCACATCTCCTGCTTTTAATTGCATTCTATACTGTACAACATCAGCATAATTGATGAATCCTCATAAATAAATTGGGTCTTGTTCCTCATGGGATAAGAGAATTTAAATAATTACTTTTTTTTCTACTGAGACTTTTTTTTTTTACTATACGAACATAAAAGAAAAAGAGGAAATCAGTAATCAAAACTCCTAGAGTTCAGGGGAAAGAGAGACTGATTAATAGACATCTAAATTGCAGTTCCATTTGGAACAGGAAGCAATCAAGCAGTAACCACAAGGAGGAAGTTTGCAATTAAAGGCACAATAGTTTTGAAAACCATCAATAATGCTTCTTCTAATCCACATCAGGGAAACTGCCCCAAATTGTATTTGATTCCTGGGAAAAGATGGAAGCTCTGAATAAAGATGGGTAAATTAACAGAAAACATCTGACAACAACAGGTTGCCAATTACCACCATCTGGATTGTCAGTAAAATGCAACTGAACAAATTCCAGATTCTAGCATAGAACATGGCTTAATTACAACTGATGGAGAAAAGCCTTTGGTGAGAGGTAGGTTTAATAGGATGACGGTTCAAATATTTGTCTCTTGCAATGGAAAACCAGTTACCATCGTTCTGCTCCAATCTGCCATCTTTTAGTACAATTTAATATAGTCAAGGAAGGATGCTCAGTGGGTAAAATGCTGAGCTTGTCAATCAGCAGTTCAAATTCCTAGTGCCGCATAATGGAGTGAGCTCCTGTTACTTGTCCCGGCTTCTGCCAACCTAGCAGTTCGAAAGCACATCAAAAACGCAAGTAGAAAAATAGGAACCACTTTGGTAGGAAGGTAACAGCGCTCTGTGCGCCTTCAGGGTTTAGTCACGCCAAGTACATGACCACAGAGACGTCTTCGGACAGTGCTGGGTCTTCCGGCTTTGAAATGGAGATGAATCACCGCCCCCTAGAGCTAGAAAACAATTAACACGTATGTGCAGGGGAATTTTTACCTTAATATAGTCAAGCAACCCACCTCCACCCCCCACCCACCCCAAAGATAGCCACGATGAGATGTGGAGATTGAACTACCAGTAGGTTGCTGAGATCATCAAGGATGCTAGTTCCCCATGCCTGCATGCAGGTGTTTATTCATAGGGGAAACTGCTGAGATGATATTACAGAAGTGATCTGACAGGGAATTCTTGTAGATACCTTTGAATCTACAAGCCAACACATTTTGGCTGTTATGACAGGCATTATACTAAGTATAAATATGTATATGTTATTCATATAAAGCACTGTCTTGCTCTTGAATTCCTCACCTCACCTACATAAGAGGAAACAGGCTGCCACATTGCCCACACACACATCTACTTTGAGAGAACCTGTGTTTTCACCCTGACTTTGCCTTTCAATGTTCTGAGCCTTGATAAGGGTAGAGCCAGTAGTTTTTTTTTTCTATTTTCCTTTTAGCCATCCCTCTGCTGTGGGGCAAATCCATTTCCTCCAGAATGGACGTAATTCCCTGATTAAGGTGTTAAATCAATATACCCTTATCTAGTACAGGTAGTCCTTGACTTAAAATCATGACTCAACCTGGAATTTTGATTGTAAGATATTGTGGTTATAAGTCAAGGCATCACGTCACCAGACTGGATTATTATTATTATTATTATTACATTTTTTTCAGGGGTTGTTAAACAAATGACACAGTCCTTAAGTGAAAACATTTTCTCCAATGGGCTTTTATTTTATTTTTTGCCAGAAACTGGAAGTAAATGCTTAAACTGGCAAACAACATCACAAATCATGGCCACATAACCTGAGAACTGCAAACAGCAGTAAAGGGAAAAGCTGTTGCCAAGTGACCAAGATACAATCACATGACCGTGGTATCTATGGAGATTCTCAGTCATCCAGGTCACGGTGTCCCAAAGGTGCTTTTTCAAGACTGGACTTTCTGGTTTTTATTTGAGATGTTTCGCTTCTCATGCAAGAAGCTCTCATCCAAGAAGATCTTCTCAGAAGTGAATAAACTTCTTGGATGAGAAGCAAAATGTCTTCAAAGAAAAACCAGAAATCTAGTTCAATGGAAAATAATGGTGAAAAAAGAAAAGTTCTACATTTAGGCAAGTGGTTCTGATGAATTTTTATTCATTGGATGAATATTTAGGCAAGAAAAACGAAATGCACAGGTAGAGTATAGGTGGTACCTTGCTCAATAGTAGTAACTGTGA